AAGCCACGGCTCTGGGAGAGCAGACTTACTTGGCGTTAAAGGGCATTGTTGCAACGTCTGCGACTACTGTTGCAGCGAGCATGCCTGTTCAGAGTGCCTGTGGACGTCGGTCTCTTGCATCGCTGCTTCGATCAGAGATCACGGGTGCTCTCAAGTTGGCAGGCTCCGAGCGACGGTTACTGAGCTCCTGGCTTTGGCCATGTTTGCAGGCACCTGCCGTACTAAACATTGGCGACCAGAAACCGAGCAGACTTGAAGCCATGGCGAACCCGAAAAGCCTCACCAAGGCAAATCACCCAGCCATAGCCGCTGGCAGCATCAACATAGTCCTCCCCGACAGAACAGTCGAAAGAGCAGGTGCACCTACCTAGCTCTTGCCGCTTTCAACCACAGATAGTACATCTGGAGACACGATGCTTCTGCCGCAACTGTGCAAGGTCAGGTGGGTCTGAGTGCAGCTCAGCCACGGCCCTCCACTCAATACTTCCCTGAGGCACCACGTCAACCGGGCCAGTGGTGCTAGAGTAGCTTTGACCGTTGACCATGAAGCTGTCTTCAGAGCCCGTCTTGAAGGCGAGGACTTGCATGGGCGACGTATTGTTGTCAGCAACCTGGATGGTGCAATGCTCATAGCTTCCATAGAATCTCCGCGGAAAGCTGCTGGTGGTGATGCATTGGCTCTCGGGCAGAATTTCACATGACCTCAGGGGTGAACGGCTGTCACAGCCGCCAACATACCCGCACGTACCAGCTGCTTCTGCGCAGGCATCGTGGTGACCTCCAGCCTAACAGGCCTAGCACAGGCTTCTCAGGGCCGAGCCCGGATGACACAAACCACGTCGCTGTCACAATGCTTACCTGCAAGGCTCTGAAACATGACCAGATTGCACGAAAGACTTCGACCGCCGTCCGGCCCGACTTGGACCTGCAGGGACTCCTACAAATCCCCTTACCTGGTCAGGGGAGAGGCCGGTCTGAGACTCCGTGCAATTGGTTTGCCAACCAGAAGCTGGCGGCAAGATCGCCTGGCTGTCGGCCCTCCTGGCAAGAGAGCACAGCCGGCCATGTGTTACTAAAAAAAGCTGGTGGAGTCGGGGCATGCTATTGGTCTGATTTTTGGGTCCCGTTTCGTCTATCTATTGTCAAAGACCACTTCCAAGACAAAAACACGCGGCAAGAAGTTCTTCCGAGCTTCGAGTAGAAAGTGCATGAGGCGGCACCGTCGTCGGGGGCAGTACTTTTGAAATACCATGCTGCCCCGCATTGCTCATCGTACCAAAGGTACACCGCAGAGAATGTGATGATGTTCTCGCACTTGTACCAAGGTCTTCCGAGCAGGCTCCAACCCTGGAGCTCGTAAACACCGCTGAGCGAAGAGCGACAGCTTCTCTGGACCCGCAGGTAAGGTGACACGTTCGCCTGCGGCGCATCTTTTGGGGGAAACCGACAAGATTCGAAATCACGGGCGACGTCCAGCTAGGATCGGGCATGCCAACACATTGTAGCAATGGCATGCCAATGCAACATCTCACACTAAGACTAAGAGGCTGACTGCACTCCTCCCTTGCCACAGTGGCACGAAAGGCTCGCATTTCATGTCTGAAAACAAAGTAACTAAGTGGCATGGCTCATTGTAGCAGTCTGTTCCGGTGTACTGGTCCGGGCGTTCTGGCTCGACCCGATGGCATGCTTCTCCCACCAGTCTCTATTTACTGATCTCCCTCGCGCGGCGTTCCTCCCGAGCTTGCATGGAGAGGATCACCCCGACCAGTCTCACAAACATTGCGGTTTGTTCTGATCGTCTACATTGCATAGTCTCCTTGCACGACCCAGCCCATCATGGCTGCAACAATGGTACGCAAAGATGAGGCTAGGCTGCTACGACTGCCGCTACCCCGGTCAGTCCTAGGTAGGTGGAAAGCACAACTGTCGGAAGTACCACACATTCGCATGGATGGGAGCTGCTGCACTTCAGAACACGTTTTTGATCCTTCAGAAACATTGGAACATGCGAAAACTCCCAAGAGGTGAATCTGTTGGGGAAGAGGCTCATACAGCAGCCACCGTTGACAAACAACTTCGTAGAAATGATGCAAAACGCAAATGTTCGGTAAAGCAGTCTACCCGTTGTCATGACCAAGTTCAAACCATCGGCAGGGCGAGTTCTCGTCGTTGTGATGGAAGTCATCGTTGATGTCGTTGTTGTGATTGGTTCCTTGGCAGACGATTGCAAACCACAGGCTAGCTTCTTCAATTGGTACCGAACTCTTCAAGCCACAAGCAGAACACGTGCACATTCGTCAGAGGTTAGCGTCGTTGCAAAGGTCACACAACGCAGACACGGCAAGGACTGGTCATCGATTCAATACTCGGAATTGAATGAGGTGCCAACATGATTAGAATAGAGTTCTGGGCATATTATCGTAGAATTATCAGGAGGACCCTAAAATACCCTACAGTAGCGCCTCTATTATTATGGCTGTTGGATCCTAGTTATCTTAAGCCATGGGCACACGGACTTGCCAAGTCTTTACCAGCAAAACGTCCGACCAAAGTCAAAGCCTAACACGCGCTGCATTCTAACGTGTCTTAAGAGGAGCTCCTGCAGCCCACCACTTGACAAGTATGCACTCCGATCCTTTGATAATAATGCCACTCCCCTCGTGCCACATGTAGTAGCTCATGAGCTCGTTTGCCTGTGCGCAACTAGCTGTAACTAGTTTAACTAGCTGTATGCATGCACACGGAACCACAGGCAGCGAATACCTTCAACTAAGAATTGTTGAGAGGGCATAGCACTATAATAGTCATAACAAAAACAATCATCATAATCAGAGATATAGTATTAAAAGTTTAGTAAGCTACCAGATTAGAAGATTCAAGGACATACAGGCCAGTGCTTGCGAGGGGCTGGCGAAATTGCGAGTACGGTTTCAGTCCACTTCGTCGGCTCATAGCAGTGTATCCTCCATCTTGCGCTCTCCGGGGGGAGCTCTGTGTTGTTCTCTACATACCTAAGTCAAAGAATATTAAGGCACCCTACCCCCTCCCCCTTCCCCCCCCCAAAAAAAAACAAAAAAGCAAAACCCTAAACCCTGAAACCCTGAAACCCTAAAAACCTTAAAACCCCTAAACC